TTCTAGGGACAGGGCTACCTGGAGTCCCTGCAGATGCTGGGCCCTGGGCCTGGACAGAGGCCGCCGCCGCTGGCCCGCAGGCTTATGAGCATGTATCAGCAGAGCCTTGTGGGCCCAGGACCTCATCGTGGTTCGGGGGGGGGGCGGGGGCAGAGAACAGCAGACTGAATTCCCCAGTGGGCGGCAGGAAGATTCAGTCTCGTCTATTTCGATTAAAAAAATAAATGTATTCCACACCAGATCTGTGGTTGCAAATTCATACGTGGTCTACCATGCCTTGCCAACCCCCTCTCCTTCCCGGCGCAGGGCGGTTGGAACCTGTGCTGGCGCCTGTGCCCTGTGTGTGACCTTGGCTGAGTTCTTTTCCATCGAACGGGGAGAGAGAACAGACCAGCACACTTCTGCCACCTCTGACTGAACCACAGCACGCTCCCAAGACCAGAGAGGCCTGAGGGTTTCTGCAAGCTGGTGGGGCCAGCAAGCGGGCGAGCAGCACTCAGCTCGGGCCCAGTGCCAGGCTGCCTGCGTTCAAGTCAGCTCTGCCCTTCGCCGGCTGGGCGGCTTCGGGTGAGCCCCTGGGCTGTGTGTCTCCCCCTGGGAACCCACGGGGCAGGTCTCGGCTTGGCGTCCGTTTCCTGGAGTGATTGTGAGATCAGTGTGGTCCCAGGTCTAATGCGGGTCTCACCACCTGCACCTACTCCTGCGGAGCTGGCCTCATCCAGGAAGACCCTCGCCTCTGTCAGTCCCTCTCTGCAGGCAGCAAAGGTGGAAACAGACCCTGGGGTGGAAAAGGCCGGCTGGTGGGCTGAGGCCTGTGCTCAGACAGCCGAGCTGCAACAGGGCCTTCCTCCTTACCCTCAGATCCCAAAATAACCCTGTCTGCCCTCGGGCTGTCCAGCTGGCAGGGCTGTGGGCTGAGTAAGGTACCATTTACAGATAACGTGGCCTCCCTGGCTGCCCCGCTAGCTGGGCAGGGCTCCTGTGGCTAGGCTCTGGCTGCCTGGGGCTGCTGCTTCTGCAGCCACAGGGGATGCCCAGGCGGGGGCTGCACAGGCACCACCCACGGCAGCCTGGCCACAGCCCCTCCCTTCCGAAGTACTGCCCGAGTGTCCTGGGCCCGCAAGCTGGGAAGCCTGGGTGCTGGCAGAGGCACTCCTGCAGAGACAGACCCCTTTGAGGCAGGGGCTGGCACCTGTGACACTGGCATCCACTTGGGTGCCGGTTCGTGTCCAGGCTGCTCCACTTCCCATCCAGTTCCCCTCCAATGGCCTGGGAAAAGCAGTAAAAGACGGCCCAAGTGCTTGGGCCCCTACACCCACTTGGGAGACCCAGACAAAGCTCCTGGCCTGGCCCAGCCTTGGCCATTGTGGCCATCTGGAGAATGAACCACTGGATGGAAGATCTCTCTTTCAAATAAATACATCTTTTTTTTTTTTTTTTTTTTTTTTTTTTTTTTTTTTTTGACAGGCAGAGTGGACAGTGAGAGAGAGAGAGAGACAGAGAGAAAGGCCTTCCTTTTGCTGTTGGTTCACCCTCCAGTGGCCGCTGCAGCCAGCGCACTGTGCTGATCCGAAGCCAGGAGCCAGGTGCTTCTCCTGGTCTACCATGTGGGTGCAGGGCCCAAGCACTTGGGCCATCCTCCACTGCACTCCCTGGCCACAGCAGAGAGCTGGCCTGGAAGAGGGGCAACCGGGACAGAATCCGGCGCCCTGACTGGGACTAGAACCCGGGGTGCCAGCGCCGCAGGCGGAGGATTAGCCTATTGAGCCGCAGCGCCGACCCAAATAAATAAATCTTAAAAAAAAAAAAAAAAAAAAAAAAACACTTCAGGGCAGGGCACTCCTTCCTACCAGTAGCTGGGGCGCAGTGGGGCTGACCCCCACCCTCCTGCACACACACACACACCAGGAGAACAAACATCAGACAGTCTTTGATCTGTGACAAGGAAGATTAAAGGGAGACTCGGGGACAGTCCTCTGATCTGGAGAGATGTGTGCTTACTCTCCGTCTGTGGGACTTAGACCTGGATTCCTCCAGTTCCCCACTGAGCCGTGAGACCTTGGCCGAGGTCCTGGAGCTCTCCTGAGCCTTGCTCTTCAGCTGTGGATGGCCAGGACAGCCGGGCGCCCCAGGCCCCCAAAGGGAGGAGAGGAAGGTGCCGTTCCCTGCGTGCCGAGAGGCGGCAGGGCAGCCTGAAGCGCGCTACTGACCAGACAGGAATTAGGCTGTCCCAGTGGCTCAGCTCAGATCACTATCGCCAGAGAGATGGGGCAGGAGGCTGCAGGGCTCGGGGCCTGGAAAGGGAAGGGGGCCTCGGGGTGCCCAGGCCGGCCCCTGGTCCTCCACCTACGGAGAGGAGCCTGCAGGAGTGGCCATGATGGTCCAAGCCACTGCTTGTGACACGGAAATCCTACATCAGAGCAGCCCGTGTCGGAGGGCCTGGTTTGAGTTCGGGCTGCTCCACTTTGGATGTGGCTTCCTGCTGCACCCTGGGAGGCAGCAGGTGATGGCTCGAGTACGGAGACCCAGATGGACTCCCTGGCTTCTGGCTGCTGCCTGGCCCAATTCTGCCACCCTGACTGTTGTGGGCATTTAGGGACTGAAGCAGAGGATACAAGATATTTCTGTCTATGTGTGTGTATGTGTGTGCTCTTCAAATAAAAATAAACAAGCTTTTTTTTTGGGGAAAAAAAACAGCACGGCAGGGGGCCGAAGAGCCCTGAGCTGGTCATTCAGCCCGGGAGTGAGGTGACTCAGCAGCCCTGGCCTGCCCAACCCCTCCTCCCCTCCCGGAGGCCCCGCACAGCAGGGGACAAGGCTGGGCCTTGAGGTCTCCAGGAGTACATACTCTTCGTGCCAGGCATTTTAGAGTGTTTAAGGAGAGGCAGGTGACGGAGCCGAGGCCCTAGGCTTGGAAGTCGAAAAAGCTGGACAGCGTGAGCTGTGGGCATTCACTTCTCCCACCTGCCGTTCCCCACTGCGCACGGGGAATGGTGCACCTGCAGTGCGGGGGGCTGGGGTTATCAATACTGTCACATTCCACTCACTCCCTCGCTGGTGGCCCGACGGCTGGGGACGGGAGGGTGTTCTGGGTGCTCTTCTCCCCTGAAGGAGATGGAGTGAGAGCCCTTCTGAAGATCCCAGCAACTACTTCCAGAGACCCAAGCCCCCTCCTCACTGTCCCCAGCCCTGCGGCTCTCTCAGGACGGGGGTCCCTCGTGGTGACGGAGCTATGCCCAGCTCTCCGTGTCCTGCCTCCAGCGCCCTCTGCTAAGAAGTGCCAGTTCCGGGCCGGTGCTGTGGCAGGCACGGCAGGTTAAGCCCCCGCCTTCGATGCTGACATCCCATATGGGTGCCGATTCAGGTCCCAGCTGCTTCACTTCAGATCCAGCTCCCAGCTAATGCACCTGGGAAAGCAATGGGGGATGGGCCCATGTGCCTGGGCCCCTGTACCTGTGTGGGAGACCCAGAGGAGGCTCCTGGATCCTGATTTAGTCCTGGCTGTTATGGCCATTTGAGGAACGAAACAGCAGCAGATGGAAGATCTCTCTCTCTCCCCTCCTCCTCTCTCTGTAACTCTGCCTTTTAAATAAAGAACTTAAAAAAAAAATTGTCAGTTCTCCCCTCTGACCCCCAACAGCCACCTCCTTACTCCCTCTGTCCTGGTCTAATCCCTTCCCATCCCATGGACTGGAAAGTTCTCCTTTTGCGATGAGATACTGCAGGCTGTAGGTGCAAGCCGGATGACAGGTGGGCCCCAGGGGCTGGCCAGGGGCATGGGCTTTGAGGAGGGTGGTGGAGGACAGCAACTGGGGCGGGAGATGTCCAGGTGTGCTTGGGTGTGGTTCTCAGCAGGAAAGACCGGCGATTTCACTGCCGTGGGGAGGAACTGGCAAGGAGGGGGAAATGAGAGACACTCAGGGGAGGGCCACAGAGCCCCAGGAGAGCGAGCCACGGGCAGCCCAGGGCCATGCAAGCAACAGCGACTCAGACCTGCGGCCAGGGCCGGGGTCACCATGCGGCCCCTGCCCTCCCAGGGCTTGTGGAGTAGGCAGGAGGAACTGGGTGGCAGTGGGGACACTGTGGGTGGTGGCAGTCTGACAGACGCGTGTCTTGGTCCCTTGGCCACTGTATGTTTTTGCCGTGTCCGGCCTGAGTACATGCGCACACCAGCACATCAGGCCACCAGCAGCTTCCTGCGGCTGGAGCCTGCGGGCAGCTCCGCGGGTGGGTGCACCACCGGGCCAAGGGGCCGGGCCAGGGTAGCTCCTATTCTGGCTGCCGCTCCCGGGCATACCTGGACTCCCCTGGGCCTTCAGCGACGTGGCAGAACCCCCCACAGAACGCCGGGCTGGCCCCCTGTGCTCCTGGTCTAGGGCACCCGGGGTCACCTGTTGCTTCTGTCACTTCCGGGCTGTGCGGCCCGCGTCCTCCTTGTCTGTGACATGGGCTTCGGGATAACCCCAGCCATCCGGTGGAGCAGCCGCCGTAGCGCAGCAGTGGCTCTCTGTGAAGGGCTCCCCGCGGCCGGCCGGGGACGGAGGCAGGTGTGCAGCTCCTGGTCAGGGTGGGAAGCCCAGCCACACACCCAGCAGCAGCGAGAGCCGGGAACCAGCTTTCTTCCAACTCCAGCTTTGTGCTCGGGATGGCTCCTTGGCAAGGTTAGGGGCTTGCGTCAGTTACTGTCAGGCCAGTCTGTAAACCTGTGACAGCGGCTGAGGGGCTTCCCAAGCCCCAAATGCTGCCTCCTGCAGGCCATGGAGCTCTGGGCGTCGCCTGCCATCCCGGACCCCCCGCTGCTGAGGCCAGCGCTGTCCACTCAGGGGGGAAGGGGCCATCTCAAGGAGCCAACGCAGCTGGCAGAACTCAAGCCTGTGGACACTGCGGGGGACAAAGCCGCTCTGAACCGCCTCTCAATGGGTGCCTGTGTCCTGGGAATGGGGGTGGAGTGACTCCCAGCCTCCTCCCAGGCCCCTCCCCCTGCAGGACGTCCCGGGCCGGACACTCGGGGCACAGGAGGGCTGGCAAGGAGGAAGGTCCGGCCGTGTCACTCCGGGTTGGCTCCTGAGTCTGGGGCTTCGGATGTGGCTCCGGGGTCAGGGCTTCTGGGGTCCTGGATGCTGATTGGGCCCGGGCGCGGGGCGGGCCCAGGACGGGCACAGCCGGGCCTCCCTGGCCGCAGTGCCCAGTTGTCCGCTTTACCCATGGTGGCGGCCCGGACCGGAGGAGCCACCGCGCTGCCGGGGACGGCGACGGGCTGAGGGCGCCCGGCTCCGGAGCGGGGCTGCGTGGGTGTCGCGGGTGGGTGGGCTCTGGGCGGTGCGCGGCGCTTAGCCCCTCCCCCGGAGGAGGCGGGAGAGCCGCCGAGCCTGGCCGCGGGCTGGGCCCGCCGCAGCTCCCGCCGGCCGGCTCGCTCCTGCGGCCCCCAGCCAGGCGGCCCGCCCTGGCCGCGCCCAGCTCCCGACATGCCGCCCGCGGGGCTCCGCGGGGCCGCGCCGCTCGCCGCGATCGCCCTCCTGGCGCTGGGCACTCCCCTGGGTAAGGGGATGGGGAGCGAGGCTGGGCGGGGCGGGGTGGGAGGGGCGCCCCCAAGACCCCCGGGCAAGGGGACTAAGGGGGAGGGCTCCGGTTGCTGGGGCCGTGGGTCGCTGACCCCGGGGGCGCGGGGTCAGCTCCAGGAGAGGGCGTCTGGGCTCCGAGGCTGAGACCCCGGGGTGGGAACAAGGGGCGACCCCGGTCTTCCGCGAGCCGGGCGAGGGCGGCCTGGAGGCCACTGGGCACCCACCCCTGCCCGCAGCGCTGGCCGGCGAGGACTGCCTGTGGTACCTGGACCGAAACGGCTCCTGGCATCCGGGCTTCGACTGCGAGTTCTTCACCTTCTGCTGCGGGACCTGCTACCAGCGGTTTTGCTGCCGGGACCTGACCTTGCTCATCACAGAGCGGCAGCAGAAGCACTGCCTGGCCTTCAGGTGGGCGCCAGCCCCTACCCTGCCCTGCTGGCTGGAGGCCCCCCTACCTCCCCCCTCACCCCGCGGTCCACCTCCGCATTTCTAGCCTAGTGGAGTCCTGAGGACCCCAGCCCATTGGCAGAGCAGGGTGGTCCATCCTGGGCTGGGGCCGGGCTCTGCCCCCAGCTCCTCTCCTGAGCCCTCCCCTGTGCTGGCCAGGCTGTGGCCGCAGGGCCTCAGGTTCACACCCTGGCCGCAGTGTGGCTTTGTGCAGGGCGCTCTGGCCAGCCCCGAGTTGGACCCCAGGCCCTCCTCCCGCCAACCGTGCTCCTGGGGAGGCCTCTCATCCCCTCTGGCCGTTGCTCCTCTGCACAGAGTGAGGGGTTGCCAAGATGAGTGGTTTCCAAACTTCTTTTCCAAGGGGCCCGCTGACGTATAAAACGGATATCAGGAGGCCGTCCAATGGACGTGGGGTTAAAAAATGGCTCCAGATGATTCTGCAGGCTCCTTGCAGGGCTGACATGTTGTGAATGCAATCAGTTGAGTTGTGGGTGCAAAAGCAATCATGTGGGGGGTTGGGGGGGTGGGTGGAAGATACTACAAATCCCGGCATGCTTCACGCCGGCCAGCCGGGCTGCACAGCACTGTGGGAGGTGGAGGTCCCCTAAGATCTGCTCCACAGGCCCTGGGCAGAGCCCACAGGGCCCCAAGTCTCAGCATGCTGTGGCCCCCTGCTGGCCAGGAGTTGGAGGGCGAGGGACTGGTTCTCTGTCTCAAGCCCTAAGACCATAGCTGGCATCGCCTCGGCCGTGATCCTCTTCGTTGCTGTGGTTGCCACCACCATCTGCTGCTTCCTCTGCTCCTGTTGCTACCTGTACCGCCGCCGCCAGCAGCTCCAGAGCCCATTTGAAGGTACACAGCGCCCCGGGCAGGGTGGGCCGCGCTAAGCCCTCTGGTGGGCACCACGGGGTTCAAGGGTTGGCACGCTTGTGGGCGCTGTGTGCTTCTGTGTATGCATCAACCCGGAGACAGGCTGGTGAGCTCAGCGACACGAGAGCGTGCCCCGGTGTGGACGTGTGTCCATGCGCGTCCTGCACCGGAATGTCGAGGGGTGCAGGGTTCAGTCTGTCCTGGTGCACGACAGGTGCACGTGACTCCTAGCAGGTGCACGGCGTGGAGCCCCCTGGTGGAGAACATGGGTGGGCTCCAGGGTCCGGTGGAATGAGTGCCTGTGTGTTGGCATGCGCCTGCACACGTGCCCAACCCTGATGGACGCCATATGGGAGAGCTGGGGGGGGGGGGAGGGCTGGGGGAGGACCCCCTGGTGGCAGCTCAGCTGGATTGCAAGACACCAGCCCCCGGAGCCGCCCACTCCCTGGCCGAGTGGGACATTCCCAGGCTGTGCTCTCTGGCTCTGAAACCCACCGGGGAGCAAACTTGCTAAACCCAGATTGGCACGCCGGCGTCACGGGCACAGCTCCCTGCTCGCCTGCCAGGAGCCGACCCAGGTGCCTACTGGCTGGAGGGAGGAGGCTTCCTGTGGAGGCAGAGCCCCGAGTGCCCGTCCTTGTCTCCCTCCCAGGCCAGGAGATTCCAATGACCGGCATCCCCGTGCAGCCAGTGTACCCGTACCCCCAGGACCCCAAAGCTGGCCCTGCAGCCCCGCAGCCTGGCTTCATGTACCCCCCTAGTGGGCCTGCTCCCCAGTATCCACTCTACCCGGCCGGGCCCCCCATCTACAACCCCGCAGGTAAGGAAGCTCCTGGAGCCCCTGGCTCCTGCTTGCCCTGTCCTTTGTGACGCCCCTGCCCACACCCCCGGCTTCCCTTCATGGTCTCCCAGCCTGCACCAGCTCTCCGGGGAAGCCTCCAGACCCCTCCTCCGCACAGATCCTGCACAGTCTGGGGAGGGGCTGCTCCCTGCCCTCCCCTGCCCCACTGAGCTCACTGTGTCTCCTTGGCTTTCAGCTCCTCCCCCCTATATGCCGCCACAGCCCTCTTACCCAGGAGCCTGAGGACCCAGCGTGTCTCTGCCGCACCCCCGCGATGCCAGCCTTGGGAAGTGCCACGTCCTGCGCCGGCATCTGGCATCCGCCCTGGGCATGGGCAGGGGTCTTCAAGTCTCCAGGCCCCAGACCAAGCCCTGAACCCTACTGGGGATGGAGCCCCAGGGAAGTGGAACAGGAGCTGTGTGGGAACTAGGCCATGATGAGGGGGTGGGGAGGGCCCGGTAGGTGGGGCATCTTGGCCGGGGGCAGGGGAGGGGAATGACAGCCCGGGTCACAGCCCCTGCTTTCAGATGGTCCCTCTCTCCCACCATCCCAGGCAGGAGGGCTGGGGTCTCTCCTGTTTGCCCCTTCTGGGCTGGGGTGTGGATGGGGAGAGGGTGCTGCCAGCAGCTGGCCATAGCCCTCCTCCCTGGCTGCCCCATGGGCCGGGGCTCTGGCCTGCTGGATTAAAGCCGTGAGATGTCACTCATGTCAGCCGTGTCATTGGGCCCGGCAGCATCGCCTTCCGCTGGGCCCAGACCACTGCCCGCTCCGCATTTCCCAGGCAGAGCCGGCGCCCGCACTAGGGCTCAGCGCGGCCCTCGCCCATCCCAGGCAGAAGTGTGGCGGCTGCAGGCTCCTCGGGCTGACTCGCCAGCCAGGGAGGTTTATGCAGCAGCGTCCTTGTGTTACCGGGACTCTCTGCTAGGGCTCGGGCCCCTGGAACAGTGTAGCAAACTTGGACCCCACTGCTTTGGGACCTTGGACAGGTCTCCTGGCCCCTGTGTCCTCTCTGCTGGTGGGAACAAGGCCTCCCAGCTGCTGCGAGAGTGAAACTGTCAGTGCTGTCTTCCCTGATCGGGGGCCCAGGACTCGACACCAAGTGAACTGGGCCGCCCAGGACACTGGTAGGTGCTTCTGCCAGCTGCTTGGATCATCAGGTGGCCCTCAGGTATCAGGCCTCCTGGGCCCACACTTGTGGGTCCCACTGAGCCAGACCATCTCGCCACCTCCCATGAGTACTGCCTAGCACCCTAGAGCCACCTGGCACCCCAGGGCCACCTAGCACCCTAGGGCCGGCCTCCCTTGCCTTGCCCCTAGGGTCACCATCCCCACGCTCCAGGTGACAGATCCAGGGCAGGAAGTTGTATACTTGTTCAAAGAATGTTGCTCATTTTGCTTCTTTGAAAAGCACGCGCGCACACACACACACACACACACACAGATCTTCCATCTGTTAGTTCACTCCTCAAATGCCCACAACAGCTGGGACTGAACCAGGCCAGAGCCCAGAGCCCATGTGAGTGTCAGGGACCCGAGAACTTGAGCTGTCACCTGTCGCAGGAAGCTGGAATTGGGAGTGAGGCCGGGACTTGAAGCTGAGCTCTGCACTATGGGATGCAGGCGCCCCAAGCGGCACCTTAACCCCCACATCAGATGCCTGCCCCGGGTGCTTGATTCTAGTAGAGGTGTGCCAGCTTAGTTAGGCAAAGCCACCACCGGCGCCCCGGGTCCGTACTGACCCAGTCACCCGCGGGGTCAAGGAGTTGTCTTGTCACCGAGCTGGAAGGCAGGAGGCCGGAGCTGCGCCGGGACTCACGGCTGCCCCCTCCCAGGGAAAGGCCCTTGACCCAGACAGGGAGGGGCAGCTGCTGCCGGTGGAGACAGAGCTGGGCAGTGTGTGTGTGGGGGGGTTCTACCTTCTGTTCAGGGCCTGCGGGTCCTCGGAGTCCTGGGCCCCAGCTCGTCTTGGAGCCAAGGAGGGGAGATGTGCAGGATAAACGTTCTGCATGTGCTAAGAGCCGCAAGCTCAGGTGTGACAGAAGTGACGTGCAGAGGGAAGCGCAAGGCGGGGCAGTCAGAGCGACCCCTCCTGGAGCGGACAACTGCTTGGCAGGCGGGGGAGGAGGCAGGTGCAGCCAGCTCCAGCTGCAGGGGGGAGGGTGTGGAGGGGCCCCAGTCCTGCCAGTTCAGGGCAGAGCGCTGAGAGCAAGGGGATTCTGAGAACCAGGGGGATGAGGGGGACGGTGGTGGAGCGGGGCTCCCGCGGACTTGAGCACTCCCACCTGGCGCAGGCACCGTGGGGCATGGAGCGCCAAGCAGGGCAGGAGGGCACCGAGCCGCAGCCACCCTCCCCTGAACACCAGGCAGGCACCTGACAAGGGCAGGCAGGGAGAGGCTGCAGCTCTCAAAGGCTGGGGGCCCGGTGGTGTACCTGGGAGGGGATCTCGAGGGGTCTGGGAGGCATAGATGAGAAGGGGGCGTTCTTATACGGAAACAAACAGGTGTGGTGGGGCAGCCGGGGCAGGTGCCGCATGGTGCTAGGGCAAGGCTCCATGGAAACAGGTCCAGAGGCCCCAGGGAGGAGGAGGGGTGGGGAAGGGAGCCCCAGGATGCAGAGCGGCGCGCCCCTCCCCGCGGGCTTCCAGGCCTAGCCTGCACCCAGCTGACCTCAGAGCCCGGCACTGCGCAGGGCGCTCCGGACCAGACCCGCGATCGTGGAACGGAGCATGCTCGCGGGTGACGTCCCCGGCCTGGAAGTGGGCCGCGGGCGTGGCAGAGACCTGACTGTGCCCCCCCGGGGCCGCAGCTCCTCGCACCCCGCGACAGCGAGGAAGGCGGCGACCTCGGCCGGCCGGGGTCTAGCCTCGATCTTGGTGCTAGCCTTGGCGCGTGCCGGCGGGCAGGTGGAGGGAAGGAGCCCGGGGCAGCGGGAGCGGAAGGAGAGGCGGTTCCACGGGGAGGAGGGGCCGGGCATGGCCGCGGGGCGGGGCGCGTAGGTGTTCGGGCGCCGGGCTCGGGTCGGCGGGGTGGCCCGCTGGCGGGAGACCTGAGCTGGGTCCAGATTCATCCACCTGGACATTTGCGGTCTTTGAAGCGGGTGTTCTCCCCTGTGAAATCCAGGCGCCGGGCGAGGGCAGACCCCGTCTGGCTCTTTCCCAGTGGGTTTCAGGAGGGAAGCCGGACAGTCTGCCGGCGCGGGTGGGGCAGGGGCGGCGTCGGGAGCAGGAGTGTGGCCCCTTCCCAGCTCAGCGAGTGTCCGCCGTGCGCCGAGCCCGCCCCTCGGCGCCCCCCAGACAGCCCGGAGCCCCCTGACCGCCCTTTCTCCCTGCCTGCTTCCTCGGATGAGAGCCCGGGACGCGGCCGCCTCCAGGTGGCGCTGCGCTCCCGCCTCAGGTTCAAATGCACCGGCGGACCGATGACATCACCCCACCGCTAGGTCCCAGGAGTGCAGGAAGGGAACAGCAGCTCTTGTTGCTTGGGAACGGTGGGGCGTGGCTTTTCCCTCCGGCTAAATCCTGCGTGGAGTCTGGCAGGACTTCCTAAGGTGACAGGTTCCTTTGGAGCTCCGTTGTTGGGGTTCTGTTAGGGCTTCCCACGCCTTCCTAAGACACCATGGGCAGTCTCTTTGGGGCAGGGGAGGGGGACTGCGAGGTAGGGTTAAAGGCCTGAGCTCTGCCTGTGGCTGTGGGTAGTGGGCGGCGCTGACCCGGCTTGGTTCCAGCTAACACCCTTAGCCTGACAGGAGCCAGCAAGGTTCTCCATCTCCTTGCCCAGACACAGGTTACGGGGGTGCAGGGCGAGAGGGTGCAGAGTGCCCCTGGGGTCTGGGTCCTCAGGCCTGTCCAGACCCAGCAAGGGCCCCGACCCCACCCCCAAGATGGAGAAGCCGCGGAGGCAGAACAACCTGCAGTGGAAAACACATACAGGTGGCGGCTCCCCGGTGCCAAGGCTGCCACGCATCCTCGTGCCAGGAGAGCCGGGAAGGTGCCTTTGACATGCAGCAGACGGTGGGCGTGCGGGGCAGTGCTGTGGGGCCAGAGGGCGGCGGTGGCGCAGGAAGTGAGCTAGGACCCGCGGGGAGGACCGGGGGCCGAGTAGGCTCCCCACGCCGTTGCCCGGCTTCTCTGCTGCCCGGCTGGCCTGTGACTGCTGTTAGAGGCTGGCCCCAAGCCCACGGCAGGAAGAGTCACGGAAGGAGCATCCTTGGAACAGGCCTAATATAGGCACCCCGGGCCGGCCTCCACCCCGCCTGCACCTCCGAGCCCAGCTCTGGCCGCGGACGCCAGGCAGCAGCACGCTGCGGGAGCAGGCCTGGCCTCCTGGGCCTGGGCAGCCGGGGCGGGCGGGCGGGGAGTCTCCGCTCATTTCCTGGTCAACTCGGCAGGCACGGCAGGGCCCCTGAGCTTCTAGATTCTTCGAGGGTGAGCATCAGGGCCCTGGGCATAGCAGAGAGGTGAGGCACAGCCAGTCACGGCTAACGGCTTGTATATATTATCAAAATCTTATGGAAACAGATACACAGCTATTTATACAACAGCAGTGGGTGTGCGGCAAACATCGGCTTTGGCATCGAACCTTCTGGTCCGGCTGCTGCCTGCCCCTCCCCTCCCGCTGGAACCCGCTCCCCACCAGGCAGGCTGTCCCCGCCAGGGCTAACCAGAGGGAGGCTGGGGGGCTCCTCAGCCCCTCCTGCTCTCCTGTGGGCCCCCCACCCTCTCAGACCTGCCACTGCCCAACAGCTTTGTCCGAGGGCTCCTCAGAGGTCTGAATCCTGGCCCTGGAGGGCGGCGGGGCTGGGGTGGGCGTGGCCGTGGACACAGCTTTCCTCTCGTGGCTCCTGGGCCTCTTGTGGCTGCCAGCCGTGCGGGCCCCGGGTGGTGCCGTCTTCTCAGCGATGAGCTACAAGGGCTCTTCTTGCCTGGAACCCTCAGCTCCAGGTACACAAGCGGTTTCGGAGAGCCTCAGAGATAAGAACAGGAAAGTGGGGAGAGACAGGGCATCCTTCCTGGAGCGTGGCCCAGGCCTCGAGCTCCCGCATGGCGGCAGCAGCGGGGCCGGGGTGGGTGGGTGGGGGCCGTGTGGCCCTGGGAGGTGAGGCCCGGGCGGTCGTGGCGCGGGCAGACGGTGCCCGGCTGCCTGGTCCTACTGCAGCAGCTTGGGCACTTCCACCTGCAGGGGCAGAGCACAGACAGGTCAGAGGAGGCTGCAAGGGGCCCTCTGCTGCCCCCTTCGGCTCCTCCCCCGGAAGGGCGGAGCCCCGGCCTCCTCGGCCAGGGGTGCCGCCCAGGCACCATGTCCCCTTTCCTGTGAAAACTGGACGCCGTCCATCCCCTGGCCCTGGGGCCACAGCGGAGCTGGTCCTGAATGCACGGCGCCAGGGCTGGGGCACAGCACCAAGGCCGCTGTCAGCAGGCAGGGCTTCCGGGCACCAGGTGCCCAGCCCAGAGACGGCGCATGCGTCCATGGCACAGGCTCCACAGAGGCAGACTCTCCTTGGGGGAGCCCGACATGTGGGGCTTGGCTGGCCCTGGGAGAGGGTTTGGTAGGACAAAGAGCATTTTTGTCTCAGGGAATGGAGAAGGCTCAAAGGAAGGAGGGCCTGAGGGGGACAACTCTGCCGAGGCTGCAGGAGGCAGACACGGCGGGGCGGGGGGGGGGGGCGCAGGGGAGAGGCTGGAGGACCCAGAGGGAGACACGAGTGAGGGCCGCCTGGAGGTGGGGGCCTGGCTTCGTGCCTGCAGCCTGACCTGAGCTCCCCCGCGGACCCCTGCCCACCCAGCCCGTGGCCCCGGCCCACGAACACAGCTACCTTCTTGAGCTGCTTGAGGTTGCTGGAGCGGATGGCGGCCAGCAGCTGGTCGCGCGAGTTCTTCTCCTGGGCCGGGAGCACCTTGTCCCCCATCTTCCTCTGCGTGGCGGGCGAGAGGGAGTTCTTCAGGTTCTCCATGATCAGGGGCGGAGCCAAGGGAGGGGGCGGGGGCGGGGGCGCGGCCGGAGCCCCCCCTTTCTTGGGCGAGTTCTTGGGGGAGGGCTTGGGGGAGGGCTGGGGCGAAGGTCTGGGGGAGCCCTTGGCCAGGGCCCCAGCCTTGGGCACCTCCAGCAGCTCCCTCTTCTCTCCGCTGGCCTCCTGCGCCTGCCTCTGCTCCTGCAGCCGCTTCTGCCGCTGCTTGTCCATGTTGCGGCTGAGCAGGTTGGTGACGGTCATGCGGGGCCCGGCCAGCTCGAAGTGGTAGCCCAGCTTGAGCAGCGTGGTGTTCTCCTTGAGCAGCTTGGCGATCTCCATCTCGGTCTTGCCGCCGCAGATGTGGCGCTGGTTGTGGAAGCGCAGCTCGGTCAGCGTGCTGTTCTGCAGCAGCGCCCGGAAGATGGCCAGGATGCCCTTGCCCGTGATGTGGTTGGAGTCCAGGTTGAGGCTGGTGATGGTCTTGTTGGCCTTGAGCATGATGGCGATGGCGAAGGCCACGTGGTCGTCGGCGCGCGTGTTGGCCAAGGCGAACACCTTGACCACGGTGTTGAACTCCAGGGCCTCGGTGAAGCGCACCAGGATCTCGTTGGTGATGCAGTCCGAGTTGTTGACGTTCACCTCGGTCATCTCCGGGTCGTTGTTCTTCACCCTCTCCAGCGGCTCATCGAATATGCTGGGAGCCGCCTCCTCCTCGGCCTTGGCCGGCGCCTCAGCGGCCTTGGGGGGCGCCGTGGGGGCCTGCTTCTCAGGTGCTTTGGTCTTGCTCTCGTCCTTGGCCTCCTTTCTGGCGGGGGACGCTTCTGTCTGGCCTTCCTCCCCCCGCTTCTTGGTATCTGTCTTCCCAGGCGCCCTCCTCGCCTCCTCGCCCTCCTTCTCCCCGCCCGCACCCCCGCTGGGTCTTGTCGGCTTCTCATCCTCTTTCCTGGGTTTCGGCTTCTCACCCTCTTTCCTGGGGTCCGGGCTCCTGCTCGGCCCTTTGCCCTTCTCTTCCTCCTCCTTCTTGGCCGCCTCCTTGGCCTCCTCTCTCTTCTTGTCCTTGTCCCTGCTCACGCCCAGGTGCCTGTCGCCCGCCTCCTTCCGCGAGGCCGCCGCCCTGGGCTCCCCCGTGCCCTCCTTCTTGTCCACGGCGGCCCTGACCCGGCCCTTGTCCAGGCCCCTGATGAGCTTCTCCTCCTTGGGCTTCTCCCCACCTGGGCCGTCTGCGTCCCCTTTGTCTCTGGAGACGCTTTTCTTCAAAACTCCCTTCCTTGGCTCCTTGCCCAGATCCGGGTCCTTCCGGGGGCCCAAGGCTTTTGTGCCGGCATCTCTGCCCCTTTCCTCTCCGTTCTTGGCATCTGCGTTGCTCTCCACTTTCTTGCTTTCCTAAGAGTTCAGAAAAGAAAAACAAACATGAAGTGGGAGGACCGAGCACGGAGCACTGGGACCAGGGGGAGGACTGGGTCACCGCCCTTGACCTCTGGAGGAGCGCTGGCGTTGGCCTCCACGGAGGACACCAGAGGGCGCCGTGGAGTCCAGCGGCAGAGCCCAGCCCTCAGGGCCCTGCACCCTTTTCTGTGCCTGGGACTTGGGACCGCTCTAGAAGTTTCCTGCCACGCCCTGCTGGAACCCGAGGCAAACAGGAATAACCACCGTCCCCGATCCTGTCTGTCTTCAGTGTGCACTTCTGTTCACTGTGGATTTTAGACATCAGTTCGGGTTTGCAGAAACAGAGACTCAAACAGGCGCTATCCAGCCCTCAGTGTAGGGGGCCAGGTGTCCCGCATCCCGCACCCTCGCCCCGCCCTGCTTCGCAGGAGTTCTACAGGCGCAAACCTTCGCAAAGAGATGTGGGGGCATCAGCACAAGCTTGCCGACGTGTTGCTTCACCAACTAAAGCTCTCTCTGGAGCCCACCATGGCCGTCGCGTTGAGGCATAAATGGAATAAAGGAGGTGCCTCACATCCAGTGTGTGTCTCTCGCAGTAAGTTACAGCATCCCCCATGCTCTTCGAGGAACCCTAGGGTCCCCTGGGCCAGCGACCTTGGGAGGACTCTGCCAGACCAGGCCCCGGACGCCGTGACTCCATTCTGACCACGCACAGGGTCAGCGGAGCTTTGTGTGGGCACAGCCACCTGCCCCTGCACGGGCCCCTTTCCTCCTCTGCAAACCCGCTTCTAGGCTGAGCCAAGTTTGTTTTCCTTTTTTTTTTTTTTTTTTTTAACAATTCAGGAGACAGAGACAAAGATAGACAGAGAAGGCTCCCATCCACTTCACTCCCCAAATGCTTGCGACGGCCAGGACTGGGCTGGGCCAAAGCCAGAAGCTGGGAACTCACACGCAGATCTCCCACGTGGGTGGCAGGGATCCAACTGCTGCCTCCCGGGGTCTGCATTAGCAGGAAGCTGGAGCAGGCGTCGGAGCTGGCACATGAGTGTCTTAACCACTAGGCCAACCGCGGCTGCTGGGCCCTAATTGGAGGGAACCTGCTCCTCATCCTCGCCTGAGGAGCGGAGGAAGCAGCGGGCCTGCCTGAGCTCAGATGTCGGTGTAGCTGTCCACTGCCCAAGGAGACTGAAGGGCAGCGGGACTGCAAGGATCGCCGCGAGCTCCTTGCCCAGCAGATTTTTAAGAGGATGAGACCACGGCCTGGGCATCAGAGGGTTGTCTGTCTTCCACAGGAGCCCAGCTGGGGTGCCGGAAGAGGGGAAGGAAGACGGCAAAGCCTGGGTTCTCTCCACAGCGCTCTCTCACAGCTGTTCTTCCTGGAAGGGGTGGAGAGTGACAGGTGCCACTGGGACCAGCCCCTGGGCTCCTCCGCTGGAACCACAATGGGCAGCCAAGGGGCCCAGGGCTATGGAATGTGCCCCTGGCTACCTCCTCTGCTCTGGGCACCTCACGGGGGCTGTGGAGATGGAGTAGGGGCCGCAGAGCCCACCGCAAACTCCTCACGCGGGCTCCCAGGGATCTGGGTTGGTCACGGCAGGTCCCCTGGGGCAGAGGTGGGACTTCAGTGCCCACCGTGGAGAGGGACCCAGGGTCGCACTGCAGGTGAGAGCTATGGGGGCCTCCTCTCCCAGCCAAGTGCGCAAATCAGGCCTCAGGGCAGACTCAGGACCTCAGAGCCCCCACACTGCCCAGCTGCCCTCCGCAGCGTTCCCGCGTCGCTCACAGGTTACGTGTGCAGGGACACTGGGGGTCCAGAGAGACTCACGGAAGCAGCTTCACACAAGTTCAAGAAACACTGGGTTTCGGGCCTGGTTGCTCATGTCGGATCTCCTCCTTTAGGACAAAGGCGTCCCTCGCCCTCGGGCGCCCACGCACCCCCTGCCACCCAGGAACCCACTCGCCAGCTGCTCCTGCAGACCCAGGGCTGCCATGGGGAACCTCCCGCCCCCGCCCATCCCGCACTGGTTTTCCCACGTTAACCCCTCTCTGCCCAACCTTTCCCCTTTGTCCTCATCTGGGACGGCTGGCTCTCGGTCTGCCCCCTGCACAGGGGTCCCCATGGGTAGGATCTGCCAGGCGCCTGTTCCCGGGGAGGTGTGCCAATCCTTTAGAGAGAACCTAATGGAAAACAGGCCGGGTGGGGGAAGGGCCGATTAATCATCGGTTTCCTCCAAATAGCCAGGAATGAGTGGGGCTGGGGCTTGCCGAGGCTCGTGCAGCCAGAGAGCACAGCGTTGCCTTAAAAGGAGAAGGAGCCGCAGCTCCGCAGGCCGCGCTGGGCCCAGCCACGCAGAGCTGCCTCCTTCGTGCTTATCTGAAAGGGAGTCCCGGCCAGGCCAGCCTCCTTCTGCTTCCAGAGCTGTGGTGCATCGTGGTGACCCCGAGTTATTTTTGCCTGTGTTCTTGTCTCCAGGCCTTACGTGACCCTTTGTGTCTTAGAGTGAGAGGGGCTCGGGTTAGATAAAACAGAGCTTCCAGGGCCTCATTTCTCCCCGCTTAGGAAAAGCCTTAGGGTTGGGGGGGGGTCCCCGGGGAGAGGTTTGGGAGTCCCAAGGGAAGGCAGGGGAATGGACAGGATGGCCTCTCACAGCCTGGGATGTGTGGCAGGACTCAGGGTGCCATGCCTCCAGTCTACAGCCCCACACTGCTGCTCTCCTGTCTGTCACCTGTCCGGTTCGCAAGGGTCCAAGTTCAATGCCACTGATGGATTCCCTTCCTTCAGGCTCTGACACTGCTGCTTCCTGAGGGGCCTTATCTGATTAGACAGAGGAGAGAACACTTCATCACCTCCACTGCCAACAGAGCAGAGCGGGGCTGTGTGTCTCGGCACAGGTGCCCTGCAAGCGAGGGCTTAGCGACGGCCAGGGCTAAGACCTCCGATGGCCGGCCACGCTCGGCAGCCGGCCCGAGGCCCTGTGAGCTCCCAGTGATCCTACCAGCCTCTGCAGACACCCCAGCTCCAGGCAGCTGCAGGGGAGGGGCTCACCTGGCAAGGGGGAGCGGGAGGAGGAAGGAGCAAGCCTGCCTGTGGGAGGAGGGGAGAGCCAGGAGGGCAGAGGTGATGGTCAGGGACTGTCCCCTCCTGTGTGACACCACCGCGTGAGCCCCTGCCCGCAGCAAGGCCGAGGAGATTTCGTGATTCAGACAGTCCAGTGCCACTCTGGCAGAGGTCCCCCAGGGCTGCCTGGCGAGTCCCTGACGGCTTTCTGCCAGGGGCTATCCAGAGGGCCCCCAGCTTGAGCCCAGGCTGGGGGCAGGGCCTCTGGGGTCCCCGGGTCTGCTTCTGGTGGACCTTCTTGCCAGGTCTTAGTGAAGTTGCCGGGCACGGGAATCCGCCCCGGGCTGCGGCCTGCTTGGCTTCTCCGGGATCAGGGTTTTGTTTACCAGGAAAGCACCAGGGGACGTCTCCAGGCCTGCGCCTCCCTCCTGGTGCTGCACCTGCATCTCCCACTGGCCCTGCCTCATCTCACAGGGGAACGAGGTCCCGTTCCCCTGCTTTGCCCACACAGCGTCTCTGCAGAGGCCCGAGACCCTGGGCCTGCTCCCGCTGGCCACCTGGTGACCTCCTGGCATCAGGTGCCGCAGCTGTCAGTGCTGTCTGTCCATGCAAGCCATGGCAGGGAGGAGTGGCTGCCTGCGGGAGGGGCTGCCAGCCGTCCCTGGGGAGAGCAGCTCCCTTCAGGGCTGGTGTGAAGGGCAGGGCGGGCAGCAGGGCCCAGGGCTAGCACAGGGCAAGGTAGCCATGCCTCCAGTCTCTGGCCGCCTCTCGCTGTTTTCCACCAAGGACACAGAGTCTAGACTGTCCTGATGAGAAGTTCCAGGAGCGTCCCTTGGCCCCTCAGGACAGTGGCATCCCTGGGAGCGGCAGGCGTTTCCCCTGGTTGTCTGCAGCAGGAGCCCTGCACTGAGGCTTGGGCCAGGGCTGCCGGTCTTTGAACAACTGACAGTGCGCCCTCCCGGATTGTTCCAGCAAAGCTCTCCCACGGTGACATGGGAGCCCTGGCTCTGTGGGCAGTTGGCCTGTGTGCAAATCCCAGCTCTGCCTCTGCCTAGGTGTGTGACCGTGGCTGAGTTACTCAGCCCCTCTGAACTTGTTGTCACACACACACCACAGCACAGGCACCCGGCGGCTCCTCACTGGGCTGTAAATGGCAGAGCCACGACTCAAAGTCCTGATGCCAAGGAGGACAGGAGGTGCCAAGAGGGGCTTGGGGGTGCCGGGACCCTCATGCAAAGCGGCTGACCCACGATGGCAGTGGCGCCCGTCCCCTCCTGTTGGCAGCCCCTGCCCTGGCTCTGTGTCCTTGACCAGGGGAAACAGCACGCAGTGGCCAGTGCAGGTGCATCTTGTCTGTTCTCCTGAACCCTAGGAACCTGCTTAGAAGGCTGGCGGCTGGGGAGGGACCTGGCTACTTTGGGCAGTCTCCCCTGACCCACCATAACCCCATGGTGACAGAGGCGGGGGTCGGACAGGAGAGCGACTGGTGTCGTCCTACCAGCAATGGCGACCGGCCTCTGAAGGGACCTTGTGAGGGGCTGGCCCTGTCCTGTGGCCCTTCATTCTATGATCACCACGTAAGGGACACAGAGTCCCCATGGCCGAGGAGGGGACAAGCTGACATCAGCAGACATAGCACAGAAGGCATGGCCCCGTGGAGCTGAAGTGTGGAAGATGGAGCTTCCCCAGTGTCCAGCAGCCTCAAGATCATGCTGTGGCCACGTCCCCTGCTGCAGAGCGCCCCCTGCTGGAAGGGCCAATGGGGGAAGCCGACCCCAGAGCTGAGGCTGGAGGAGGCGAGGGTGGGATGACGCTACCACCTCACCCCTGTGGGCTCACAGCTCTGGAAACACACTTTCTGGAATGTTCAAAGGCTGTCCACAAAGACCCACACATATGCTCAGCTCCTACCTATAGCTGGAGTACAACAAAGCCTGCA